GGAAGTTGCTGGGCAGCAGTACCAGGATGTCATGGGTCCTGCAGGAAATTACTTACAGCAAGTCAGCAGTGGGAGTGCAAAGGCAGACAGAGCTGGGAAATGCCAGAGCTGAGATCACCCATGCAAGCTGCATTGAATCACCTTCATGTACCTATTTACCATGATACAGCCCCTAATTACATGTGCACATGCAAATTTTTGGACCATGGCCATACTCAATGTATATGCAATTCATAATTTTTAAGTCATTGTCACTGCAACTGTAGTAAATATTTTCACCTTGTTTTTTTGCTTTCCTTTGTACATACAACCACATTGAAAGCTTTTGATGCCAGTGTTTAAGAGCAAGAAACAGAATTCCAGTCCTTCTTCAAGAGATAGTGATGCTGTAAACAAGCCAAGGTTCTTAAATCTTTTACAGCATCTCCAACTCCCATCCTATTCATGGCTCACTGATATGCTTAATTTGAACCCATCTGTCATCTGCTTAAAGTGAAGGTTGCATTTTATTTATTTAAAGTAATTTACATTAAATCAGAGATTTGGCTGTACTCCTGAGTGGTCACTTAAGGCAGGTCTAATCGTACAGGAAAACAGACTCATTAATGTCAAATGGAAAGCAAGGCCAATTGAAATTTGCAGCAAGCTATTACCAGCTAATACCTTTAATAAGGTATTAATTAAAAGGTCTGATACAATAAACTGACTATATATAATTTTTGAACTTGAAAAAAATAACAAAGGAGATAAGAGAGGGGAAATAAACTAAGACAAGAACTACTTTGAAATAATAGTCTTGGAGAAATATGTAAATATGCTGGAAACAGAGACACATAAAACCAGATTTGCAAGGTGAACATATCTGTTACAGTCCAGATACCCATCTCAGTCTAGACATTTCATAAGATCTTGTTCTTAATATATCAATCTGAAGGAAGTCTCATGTATTGAGAAACATCATACAAAGCATGGAGATGTATTTTAAAAAGTAGACAATTTGTTTCTCTAGCTTCACAAGGACCTTTCTTTTACCATATCAAGGGATTTAAAAGACTCATCTGTTGCTAGAAATAGCAGCAGTGGGCAAAGAACATCTTTCATGCTGAAGCTCAGATTCACTCCAGGAGCTCATGGCTACACATGGGACACACATCAGTGCTGGGACCACGAGCTGCTGTCACTGCATCACAGAAGTTCCTGCAGGCAGTCAGTGCCCACAACTCCTCTCCCACAGGCCCTGGATTTAACAGTCCATGACATCAAGTCATGCCCTGCTGCCCTTTGGATATGCTGGGGTGGTGCTTGATGTTGGTGCTGGTGCTATGGCAGTGCCACCACATCCATGCCACAGTGCCCATGGGAAGGCAATTCATGAGCTCTTGATGTGTCAAAACAGCTGACTGTATTGTACAGCACATTATAAGGACAAAAGAAGGTGTGATTTGAAAATAGATTTAAAATATTGAGCTATAAAGGATAAACCAACATGTTCCAGTAGCTTGATTAATTTGCCAAAAAGGGTGTGCTGGATCTTCCAGTGTGATTGTGATGTTGCTGCACTAACCAGTAGAATTCTCCTTAGATTTGGAAATCCTGAAGGGTTCTTACAGCAAATCTTTCCTGAGCCTCTTACTAAAGCTGGCTGTGGTAAAGTAGTCAGAATAGCTGCTGTGGATGACTTGCTCTTCTGAAGCCCAGAATGACATCATTAATTGCTTCCCCTCCTTCCAGGTTATCTGCTTCACATTTCTTGTGATTGGCATGAAGTAATTTCATTGTGCTTTTTTTTTTTTTTACAGAACCTTGTACTGTCAGCTGAAGAAGCAATGTCCATGAAGCTGACTGAAAATTTTGACTCCACAATACCCCAAGGAAGGGAGGAAGAATAAGATATTTCCATTCCCCATCCTCCTTTAGGTCTGTGATGGACTTTTCTATAGTACATTTTGATGACATAGTCCTATCTCAAGTGGCTCTCCATAGTCTGTATCTAGTTGAAAATAAGTGATGAAATAAGTGGTGTGTTAGATGTTGAGATCTCTTGCTGGATCTGTCACAGGTCCAGTTACTGCAAGTGTCATTTAAAACACAAATATGACACAACAGAAGTGTGTGAGAGGGCTACACTGAGTATAAGCAGATTTACATGTGCCCAAGGATGCCTCTAGGCATTGAGGCAAACTAACAACTGGTCTCCATCTCTCTTAAGAAGTCCTTTTAATCTGCAATACTGGTGCTGCCTGCAAATTCTCTGCTGGGAATTGTCTCTGACGGCCACATGATGGCTAGGAAATGTCCATGTTAGCTGGTCAGCGTGGGCTGGGTCTGTGCCAGACATGCTTTAGCTGTTTCTTACTTGGACAGCCAGAGTCAGGTCCCTAAACTTTCTTGAGGTTGCTTGTGATTTTGGGAGAAGGGAGAGGTCAGATGCAGGGCTGTGCTCAGTGCAGGCAGGGGCTGGCTGCACCACAGCTTGCTTGCAGAGGGCCTGTCCAAGTCCTGCCTCTGTTTTAAGCACCCTTCTCCAAGTGGAATCCAATCTTATCTCCCTAGGGTTGGTTCCTGACCCATTCACAGTTCTTCATGTAGCACTAGTGCCCACAGCTCTGTGGGGAACAGCTCAGTGCATCTGACAGGAGCACAGAGGTGCTGGCTGGGATTCAGGAATGTAATGTGAGCCAGACTAGTGCTCAAGAGGAGCAATCTCTCTTCCCAGACTGGCACAAAGCCACTCAGGGGTAAATGTCCTTTCCCAAAAAGTGGTCAACAAGGGAGCCAAACCTTGAACGTCAGTATCCCCCGGGGGACCATGGTTACTGCAGGTCCCCGTGCTGCACTGTGGGTGCTCTGTGCCACCCACTTCCCTCAGAAGGAGCCAGTGTCACTGGGGACCCACTCTGAGCTCCACCTACACTTTGTGGACCAAGCCCTGCTGGGGTTCAAGCCCCACCCCATGAACATGACAACCCCACAAAACGCAGCCCCTGCCCCAGCAGGGATGCCCCAACCCAGGAGCCCTTCTCACGGGCTGCAGGGTTTGGTGTCCGGCTGGGCCTCCTCCTCCTCCTCCTCCTCCTCCTCCTCCTCCCTGAAGGAGCCTGTCTGAACCACAGCCAAAACTTAACACAACTGTCAGCTCAAATCCATGTGTTGTTCTCTGAGCTAAAGCACCGATGCAGGGAAAAAAACCCCTCTGTGTTTCTTGTTGGGTCTGTAGGAATTCGACTGCCAGCACATATTGCTTCCAGCAGACACAGCACAGCTTGACCTGTTCTCACAGGCAACAGAAGTTGAAGTTAGGAGCCCTAATAATTGCAGCAATCTGGTCGTAAATGACTTGCAGGGCAACAATTATCTACTGAAATTTTAGATTAGAGAAGCTTTCTTTTCATGGATGAAAAATGAATTAATGGAATAAATTATTATTTCTGCTCCCATTGCTTGCTGATCTGTGATACATCTGATACAAACATTCATCAAGCAAGCCTGTGCCTCTCTTTTCAGCTACAAAAACAAGAGTTTAATTCATTATGATTTCCCTGACCGTTCTTTGGATCATTTACATTTGCCCAAGTGGATTTAAAATGCTACCAGATCTCCTCTAACATTTCACAGGCACATTGAAAGGTGTAAAGAACTCTGAAAAGGTGCAAGACGAGGGAGAATAAAGCACAAGGATTTTAGCAGCCACACTAAGTAAAGTCTTTATAAGGACAGATCTGGCATTTCAAAAATAGTTTCTTCTCAACCTTTTGAGAATGTGCTGAGATTTATCATCTGAAAGGAGCTGATTTCACCTTTCAAACGGAACAATGTCCTGTGTGCCTTTTTGTAGGTATTTGTTCTGTAAAATGGATGGGGAGGGATAAGGCGGGGAGAAAAGCCTTTTTGGAAACAAAGGTTTCTGTGTTGATCATGCTGGACTCTGCATTGGTTTTCTTATTATCATTACCTAGAGAAAAACCAAAAGGTCACCGGAATGAACTGTTGATCAAAGAGAATAGGATCTGAGATGGTTAAATCTGAGGATTTAAATCTACAGAACTTTTCCCTATGCTCATGCAGCATGACAAAATTTGAAGCCAAACTTCCAGATCTTGATTTTGTTTTGTGAGATTTGATAAGTAATCCCATCTGCATTTTTGCCTGTGCAAGCATGTCACTGCTATTGTCATCTTAAAATTTATTTTGCTAGAGTCAAGTTAGTTAGTAAGGAGGGCCACAGGTGGGTAATTATTTATTGATTAACCAAAAAAAATGAGGGTTTTTCCAGGTTTCCAAAGTATTTCTTTTGTCCCAAGAAGCTTGCAAGTCTCAGTAAATTTATATGTGCTTGGAAAAAAATTCAAGGGACTTCTTGTATTATACCCAAACTATGCAGCACACTCAGGAGCACATGAAGGTGACACTGGCCTCCAGAGGTTCACAGTATGACACAGGTGTAGAATAATAAATATTACTCTCTTCCTGGGACATTATATTTCCTTCTCCTGGGTATGTGGTGCTATGAGCACACTCCATGTCAAGATGAGGTCTGGTGCACAACCTTCTATTAATCACCCATCCGCTTCTGAGCCAGTGGAGCAGGAACACTGTGTACTCACCAGGCTCCCCCTGGCTGTGTGACACCAGCGGGAGGACAGCAGGCACATGGCAGATCTCACCTTTCTCCCAGAATGGACACAAGCCTGGAGAAGAAAACAGCCAGCTGGATTTACTCCTCTCTATTCCCCTCTACTGAGAAGCTTTTCAAAAGCCGGTAAATTGGAAAAGATCATAACTTGCTGGTGCAGATCATTCTGCTGTGGCCAGAAACAGTTAACTTGTAAACTGTAGGTTTTCCTGGACCCACTAAAATGAACTGTAGAGTCAGATTTAATAATTTAAGTGTAGTAGGTTTCCTGCATGTAGAGATCTGGGGGGGAAATGTTCATGAAATCCTGGAATTCAGAGAAAACAAAGTTAAAAGGAAATGTTTGTTATTCTACTTCTACTTTTAAAGAGCTGGATGTGGTACAATGCACTGCTTCTGGTAAGTAGCAGTCAGTGAGAAATCATAATAGGTGTAAATTACTCAAACCCTCCTCAGGCTCAGCTGACTGCAGGCCACAGAAATGTAGCTAAAACTGAAGAGCCAGAGCTTTGGGAAACATGCACGGAGTGTAGGGGAGGTTTTGCTCCACATCTGCAGCAGAAACTTTATGGTCTCTGCTCCTTTCTCAAAGACACCAGTAACAATCCAAATGAACTCAATGCCCTGACACAGGACAGAGATGCTCTAGAGTTGCTCCAGTCCCTCCGAGAGCAAGATTTATGTCATACTTTTATTCCCAAAACACAGTATTGCTTCTTCTGGTTTCTGCCTGGAGAAAATGTTTCTGTGTCTCTCTGCAGTTCTGAATGGCTTTATACGCGATTAAGCTTTGCATGGGATTAAAAAAAAAAAAAGTTTTAAAAATCCCTTAGAGTTCCTGTCAGTATAGAAACACATCATTTTACCACTGGGCAGGCATATAAATATCTGAGAAGCGCTTTCCGTGCATCTGGTGCTTTGCTGCGTTTCACCAGGAGAGGGAAGAGTTTGGAAAGGACTCCTGGCAGCCTGGGCTCCCTATTGTGCTGGGAAACAGCGAAGGGAAAACAAGCACAAGTTTCTCCTCTGCCTGTTTGCACCGACTGACTATGTGCGAGAGTCAGCAGATGAACTCTGGAAGACCTTAAAGTAAACAGAAAACGGAAAGAGAAACCAAATTCCAAAGCAGCTCTCTAGGGAAGTCGGTGGAAGCGAAGGGAGAAGCCGCGGCAGTCCGGGGGCTCAGCCCGCCGCTGTCTCAGAACTGTCACTCACTGCACGTTAATCTGAGCTCAGGATTTATTTCTCTGCCGTGACTTCCCAGCTCTGAATAGATATCACTTTTAGAGACAGAATGGGACCTGAAAAGACTCTCGAGCACTGAACAGAGTGGTGAGTTTTATTAAATGGTTTCTTCTCTTTCCAGTCTGCTGGAGCTTTCTAACACCCTGCTTGCAGGCACAGCAGCCCGATGACTTGTCTTTTCCCTGCAGCTTGTTGCATTCCTCACCAGGCTTTCCCGACCGCAGGTTTCTGTCAGTAACCTTTCCCACCAAGACTCCAGGGCAGTTTGGTGACATTTGTAACAGAGCTGGCTCAGTGCTGATTTGCTTTCATGAGAGATTAAAACCATAAAGCTGTGAAACCAAAAAAGGGCTAAAAATCAACCAAAATCCAATTATAAAATGGCAGGTGACTCTGGGTTTCCAGATGTGGACACTGATGGACCAGAAAGAAGTGAAGAAATGGAGATTGTAGTCAATGTCGGTGGAGTAAGGCAGGTGTTCTATGAAGATAACCTGAATCAGTACCCAGAAACACGTCTGGCAGAGCTGGTCAATTGTTTATCAGGGGGATATGATAGCATATTTTCCCTCTGTGATGACTATGATCCTGGAAAGAGAGAGTTTTACTTTGACAGAGATCCAGATGCTTTCAAATGCATTATTGACGTGTACTACTTTGGGGAAATTCACATGAAGAAAGGAATATGCCCCATATGTTTCAAGAATGAAATGGAATTTTGGAAAGTAGATCTGAAATTTTTGGATGACTGCTGTAAAGCTCACCTAAGTGAAAAAAAGGAGGAACTGGAAGAAATAGCCCGAAGGGTGCAACTCATTCTGGATGACTTGGGAATAGATGCCTCAGAAAGTCGCTGGAAAAAGTGCCAAAAATGCATCTGGAAATTTCTGGAGAAGCCAGAATCATCCTATCCAGCTAGAGTGATTGCTGTACTGTCCTTTCTGTTTATTTTGATCTCCTCTGTTGTGATGTGTGTGGGGACCATCCCAGACTTGCAGGTGGTAGATGCAGAGGGGAACCGTATGGAGCACCCGACCCTGGACAGCATCGAGACCGCCTGCATAGGCTGGTTTACCGTGGAGTATGTGCTAAGGCTGATCTCCTCTCCCAACAAACTCCACTTTGCCTTTTCCTTCATGAACATTGTTGATGTGCTAGCAATACTTCCTTTCTACGTCAGCCTGACCTTGACCCACCTGGGAGCCAAGCTGATGGAGCTGAGCAATGTCCAGCAGGCTGTCCAGGCACTGCGCATCATGAGGATTGCAAGGATTTTCAAGCTTGCACGACATTCCTCAGGGCTCCAGACCCTAACCTATGCCCTGAAACGCAGCTTTAAGGAGCTTGGGCTGCTCCTCATGTACTTAGCTGTTGGCATCTTTGTCTTTTCTGCCCTAGGTTATACCATGGAACAAAGTCACCCCGAAACTTTATTTAAAAGCATCCCTCAATCATTTTGGTGGGCAATCATTACCATGACCACGGTTGGATACGGAGACATTTACCCTAAAACAACACTAGGAAAACTGAATGCTGCCATCAGTTTTCTTTGTGGGGTGATAGCAATCGCCCTCCCCATCCATCCCATCATTAACAACTTTGTCAGGTATTACAACAAACAGAGAGTTTTAGAAACAGCTGCCAAACATGAATTGGAGCTGATGGAACTAAATTCTGCTGAGGGGAAAGCCGCAGGCTCCAGAAGTGAACTGGAGGATCTTTCAAGGGGAGGCAAAGAGGCTCCTTTTTATAGCAGCCGGATAAAAGTCTCCCACAGTGACACCTTTATTCATCTCCTGTCAGAAGAAAAACACCATAGGACCAGGCTTCAAAGCTGCAAATAAACTGTGAGCTGTTGTCAGCGCTGAGCTACAGATTGGGACAACCTGACAATCAGCTATGGAAGGGACTCGCAGATCTGTCAGAGCTGGGAGGGAGCACTGCTTTGCTTTTCCAACATGAATATAAATTAACCCCATAGCTTCTCCATCAACAGTTGGTAAGACTTTACTGTTATTAACCCAAAATAAAACAGTAGGACTTCACTGAGATCAGACTGCTTATATTGAGTGTGTTCTGATAAAAAACATTTGTAACCATTTCAGAGACTGAAAAGTCCTTCCTGATCCATAAATGTTCAATGACCCAAATGTGCAACATTGCCACATCAGAACTTTGTACCTGTGACAATAAAGAGCAGCATCACAGAGATTGTGTCTTCCAGGCTCTCTTCAATGCCTTTGCAGCTGGGGGAACTGCTCCTTAAAAGAATTAAAGCAGCCTCTCATTTGTATTAGATTCAGGCTTACAGCAATATGTAACAAGCAGTTTGAGCCTAGAGATACTGAAGGTATCAGCATATTCTGTGTGCAGAATATTAGAGTGAATAAATGGCTTTGTTTTGTAAAATGTACTTTGGGATCAACTTTTTGGTTTCTGTTCCTCTTTCCAGAAAAAGAGTCATTTTCAATGGGACATGAAACTATATTTTGAGCAGAGATGCAGAACTGAATAAATTTATTTTAACGAGCAAATTTAAAAATATTTGTTCTAGCTATTAATTACTGCATGGTTTATATATGCAGGGATCTTTCAGGAAGGTTTTATAATTAAGTAGCTTTTTAAAACTGTAAGTTAAATAATGGTATCTTTAATTCTCTACTAAATCAAGGGAAGTTTATAATAAGTTAAAAAGAGTAATTCTAAATAAGAAACTTTAATTATTTGAAAGTAAGGGCACAGAAAGTTTCAGTAAAAATAGTACAGTCTCCAATTGATTTATGGTAAAAATATCTAGGTGAATAAACATCTCATTAGATTATTTTTTTAAATAACACACCCTTCTTCTACAATAACTACAAACTTTGTAGATGTGAATTTACGGAAGTAGTAGGCACTAATCAGTATCTTCTTAATTAATTAATATACTAATTAATCAACACCACTGCGTAGGTACTATCCAAATGCAAGTGCCATCTACACAAGTCTAAATTTGGTTGGTGTAAAACCTGTATGTGTAATAGGTCTGGTGTGTGCCAGAGAAATCCATTGAAACTAGGAGTTATGCCAGCTTGGAGCGAAGGGCAGCACTGGCACACAGATATATTTACATAATTTAGAAGCAGGATACCAAATGTTTAGAGGGCTAGGGTAGCTATCTTTATTTGTTCCCTTTTGTGCTGAGCAGCCCCTTGCCCAGGTGAAATGCAGCAACATGAGCTGTGACCTATCCCTGGGCACCTCATGCCCAAGATCCCCCTACAGGTCTTTGGGACTTTTTTCCTGGGATGTGGGAAAGCAGTGGGCCTGTGGTATCTACCCCACAGAAGCAGTGAGTGGAGGGGCACAGAGCTGAGGGATGGGCTCTGTCCTCTTTTCTGGCACCTTGTTTGTCCCTGTTCCCTGGCAGAGTGGTTTGTGTCTGCTGGTGAGGAGCGCCCTGTTCTGCTGGGAGCAGAGAGCAGTGGTGGCATGTAGGATCTGAGCAGGTGTGCAGTGAAGGGCAGCTACTCCTCAGGAACACCACCCACCTGTACCTCTCCTAGCATGGAAATCAGCCCCTGCTTCCCTAGGTTAAAGACCTTTCCCAGCATTACCCCTCACACCTCAAACTGCTGATCTCCAGGGACACCTACTTGGTACCCCATGCCCCAGTCCTGTGCCTGACCCAATGTCCTTTCCCCCAGTCTGTTACCATGTCCTTCCTTACATACCTCCATCAAGTAAGAGAATTTAAACAATGTCTAAATATTTCTGTACCTGAATCCTTCCACCAGCATTTGTGCCAAATTCTCTCCTGCCTAAGACAAACAGCCACTGTAAGTACCTCCTCAGCCCAAGCACCCCTTCACATCCCTTCTCCCCTCCACATCCCTGCTCTTAGCCTCTAGAACTGCTCTCTTGCTCTGTTTCACCTGCTGAGACCTGTTCTTTGCTTGCCAACAGCCTCAGCTCCTCTCCCTGGCTGCCTGGCCAGGACCACAGGCAGCTCTTATCTAAAGTGTCCCTTGCACTGCTTAGGACACCCAGGTCACAGGTATGGGCTGCAAACCAGCAAAAATTGACTTGGCTGGGGTGCAGAATGTGGGAGAATAGGGAAGCTAACCGAGCTGTGCGAGTCCAGCCTTATCTATCAGCAGGAAAATTACATGCTCCTGACTTTGCTCGTGACATGCAAATGGTAGCTGAGAGTGAATTAAGCTATCAAAAGCATTTTCTTGAATGAGGAAAGCACTGTGTTAATACTGAGCTGTATGGTTTAGCACTGCAAGTGCTACATCCTGACTGCTGTGCTTTGTGATTTATTTAACCTGACATTAAATAAAAAAACTCCCTCTTTTATCAGAAATAAGTTTTTGGGCCGATTTCTCCTATGAGTTATGCCTTTGAGCACTGGGCTCTATGGAAAGAGTTTTGAGGCAACCTTGGTGCTGCTGTAGCCCAGACAGGTCTTAGTGTGTCTTGCTGCACTAGGGACCTCATTTGTTGTATTTGCTGCTATAAGTTATGTGCTCTTAAAAGGCTGTGTGTGGGCAGGATGGATTCCTGTCTATTTGCCTTGCTCATGGTGTGGAAACCTTGCAGGAGCAGTGGGAGACTTGGGCAGTGGTGGAAGGACAGGGCAGGCTGGCAGCACATGGTGAGCCAGGAGAGGGGCAGGGGGTCTTGAACACATCATCCTGATGGTGTGAGGCTTTCTGGGTCCCTGGGGAGACATCTCTTGCAAATCAGGAAACTACCAGAAACCACTGGCTTTGAAATCAGGTCTGGACAGAAGGCTCTGCTCCTTAAAGAATGGAGTGATCTAGGGGTTGTTTGTTTTCTTTCTATTGTTTTAATATTCTACTCAACCCAGCAGAACTGATTTTCCTTTATTACAAGGCAGTCTAAAAAAAGAAAAGGATTTAAAAATCTGGAAGTCTTCAGGGTGGAAGGGGAGAGTTAGAGAAGCCCTTTCTCAGAGAGTAAGGAACAAAATCCAAAGGCTCTGGTATCCCCACTCTTTGACACAGGACTTTCTCAAGTCCAAATTTAGGACAAGCTCTGAAGTCTTTCCAAAGGGGAAACTGCACCATGCTTGTTTCAGG